CAAATGTAACAAATCCTCTAAGACAGACAACTAGGGGAAAGGGAAAAACGAACTGGGGTTTAAAGGGGGAAAAAATCCCTCAGGCTGTTTTTCCAGAGAAGCAAAGCAAAAAAAAAAAAAAAAATACACAAAGAACTCATTCCAGCACACCTAGAATTAGGCAACATGTTCTTAGCTATGAGACCAAAATCACGTTCATAAAAGAAGCAATTTAGAAATTAGACTTTATCAAAATTAAAATCCTTGCTCTATCAGTGGCACTGTTTAGAGAGAATGAACAGACAAAACACAGTTGGAGAGAGAGTATTTCCAAGCCACATATCTGACACAAGGCTTGTATCCAGAATATATAAACCTACTTCCATCGAGTCGATTTCTGACACATAGTGATCCTATATAGGGATTTCAGGGCTGCCAATCATTATGGGAGCACATAGCTTTATCTTTTGCCCATGGAGTGGCTGGTGGTTTCAAACCACCAACCTTGTAGTTACCTGACAGACAGCACCACCAGGGTTTCCTTATAAATAATTCTCAAAACTCAACAATAAGGAAATAAAATTTATTGTTGCTTTACTTACAATTGCCAAAAATTGGAAGTAATCTAGATGTCTTCCAGTGGATGAATAAATGGACAAGCTATGTGACACGTGGAAGGTCCTTAGATGGTATAAGCAGCTTGTGATCAGCTGCTAACCTAAAGGTTCACAGTTCAAATCCACTAATGGGTCCACAGGAGAAAGACCTGGTGCTCAGCTTCCATAAAAATTATAACCAATTGCCGGGGGCTTAAGTGGAGAGGAAATGTTTTGAGAATGATGAGGGCAATGAACGTACAAATGTACTTTACACAATTGATGTATGTATGGATTGTGATAAGAGTTGTATGAGCCCCTAATAGTGGTTTTTTTAAAACGATTTAAAAAAAAAAGAAAGAGATGGTGGCAACATAGGTACAAATGTGCTTGACATAATGGATGTGCGGACTGTTATAAGAGCTGTAAGAGCCCCCAAGAAAATTATTTTTTTTAAATGAACTAAAGAAAAAAAATTATAACCAAGAAAGTCCTATGGAGCAGCTCTACTCTGTTACCCATGGGATTGCTCTAAGTCGGAATCTCCTTGACACCAATGGGTTTAGGACTTTTTTTCTTTGGGGGACAGGTGAGGGGAGGGGGTTGGTGCTATACCCACACCATGTAATGCTTCTCTGCAATCAAAGGAGCATGGATGACTCTCTAGAGAACTACACCGAGTGAACAAATACAATCCCAGAAGGTTTACACGTCTGATTCCATTGATAGAAAACTCTTGAAATGACATTAAGAATTGGAGAACAGATTAGTGGTTGCCAGGAGTCAAGGAAAAGGGAGAATGGTGGTGAACATGGAAAACAAAGGGCAACACGAGGGGCCCCTGAAATAATGGAATGGTTCTGGATCTTGACCACATAGATGCCAATATCTTCATTGCGATATGATACTGTAATTTTATAATATAGGAGAGTCTTGGTGGTGTAGTGGTTACGTGTTGGGCTGCTAACAGCAAGGTCAGCAGTTTGGAACCAACAGCCGCTCCAAGGGAGAAAGATGAGGTCTTCTATTTCCATAAAGAGTTGCAGTCTCAGAAATCCACAGGGGCAGTTCTACCCTGCCCTATAGGGTTGCCGTGAGTCAGAATTAACTCAATGGCAGTAAGTTTATTACCAATGAAGGAAAATGCATAAAGGGTACACACATACCAAACAATAATAAAAGACCCCTCCAAACTCATTGCCCTCGAGTTAGTGATGACTCATAGCAACCCTTTATGGGGATAGAAAGCCCCACCTTTCTCCCTCAGAGCAGCCAGTAGTTTCAAACTGCTGACATTGTTGATCACAACCCAATACGTAACTACTATACCACCAGGGCTCTGTAAGGGTACACAAAATCTCTAGTATTACAATGGCAGACAAATCTACAATTATCTAAAACTAAAGACTTTATTTTTTTTTAAAAGTTACATACCATGGGAGTCCATTTATATGGCATTCCTACAAAGATAAACTATAATGAAGCAGAACAAGACTGTGGTTGCCAGGGCTTACAGGTGGGGGAGGACATCACCACAAAAGGTTAGCATGTAATAGTTGGGGAGGGGGGGGTGATGAAATAGGGGTTCTGATGGCATAGTAAGTTATGTGCTGGGCTGCTAACTGCAAGATCAGTATCAGTATCACAAAACCACCAGCTGCTATGTGATAGAAAGATGAGGCTTTCTATTACCGTAAAAAGTTAGTCTCAGAAACCCTTGGGCAGTTCTACTCTGTCCTACATGATCACTGTGAGTCAGAATTGACTCTCCGACAGTGAGGTGATAGATGAGTTGCATCGATCTATGGCTGTGTTAATATTTCTCAGAATGTACAGCAGCAACAAAATCAATTTTAATGAATGTGCATTTAAAAATAAAAAGTAAATATATATATTATATATTTTATATATTAGCCTGTGCTGTGGGTGTTTACAGGACTCTGTGAAAATGGTTCCAAAAAATCATTTGGAAGGCAAGTTCACTAAAATATTTCATTGCCAAATTACATTTTGCAACAGGGTAGATCTGCAGGAAGCCAAGGACTGCATTGATCACTGAAATGGTTGAAGACCATGATCCACATAAAACCCAACACAGAACCCAGTGCTCCAAGACGTGAATGCAACATACCGGCAGGAAGCAGCGAACCAATTGAGGTCTGAGGGGCTGCCGGTCCCAATTCCAACTATGTAGACAGCCCCCACCCCCAAGAATTCACTTTAGAGGATAGCACTGAAGCTACAGCTCAGGGAGAGGGACATGTCTGATCAGAGCACACAGGAGCAAACAAAGGGGAGGGAGAGAGAGTGGAGCACATCCTGGCCCACCAAGCCCTGAGCATGATATTCCTGCTCAGAGCAGTCAAAGGACAGAGGACCATAGGGCCAGCCCCACCATGAGACACAACATCCCTCACTGATCCATAGTGCTACACTGGAGGATAACACTGGAGACACAGTGTGGGAATTGTGCACAATATGGCCCCACCACACAGAGGTGTGCCACACTAAGGGCGTGCCACAAAGCAGCAAGGGGAGCAAAGCAATAAAGTCCCCGGGGAATACCAAAAATAGACTTTGGAGCCAGGGCATGGCACCCCATCAGACTCAACCACTCCTAAAGGTCAACAAATAGACCTTGAACTATTTATAGGTTTTTCTTTTTTTTTAATCGTTGTTTTTGTTGTTGTTGTTTTGGCTTTTGTTGTTGTTGTTGCTTTGTTTTGCTCTGTCTTGCTTTTGTGCATATTGTTATCTCTGCATATCTATCTAGATAAGATAGGCGAGATAAACAATCTGGAGGAGAAAACAATGGGACCGACAGTTCAGGGGGGGGGCATGGGAGAGGGGGAGGCAGGAGAAAGGTGTTAACTTAACAAACCCAGGGACAAGGGAACAACAAGTGATCTAAAATCGATGGCAAGGAGGGTGTAGGAGGCCTGGTAGGCCTTGATTAAGGGCAATGTATCCGAAAGGAATTACTGAAACCCAAGTGAAGGCTGAACATGAAGTGGGACAAGAGGAAAGTAAAAGGAAATAGAGGAAAGAACTGGGAGACAAAGGGCATTTATAGAGGTCTAAATAAAGCCATGTACATATGTAAATATATTTATATATGATGATGGGGAAATAGACCTATGTACATATATTTATAGGTTTGGTATTAAGGGAGCAGATGGACATTGGGCCTCTACTCCCTTAACGCAAGAACATTTTGTTCTATTAACCTGGCGTTCCATGATGCTCACCTTCCCGACAAGAACGCTGAAGACAAAGTGGGTGCAAATGTAGTAAAGAAAGCTGATGGTGCCCAGCTATCAAAAGATATAGCATCTGGGGTCTTAAAGGCTTGAAGACAAACAAGTGACCATTTAGCTGAGAAGCAGCCAAGCCCAGGAGAAAGAAGCACACCAGCCTGTATGAACACGAGGTGTCGAAGGGATAGGTATCAGGCACCAAAAACCCAGAACAAAAAATCTTATCATTGTAAATGAGGAGGAGTGCAGAGTGGAGACCCAAAGCCCATCTGTAGGCAATTGGACATCCCCTCACAAAGGGTCGCAAGGAGGAGACGAGCCAGTCAGGGTGATGAAACATACAACTTTCCTCTAGTTCTTTAATGCTTCCTCCCCCCACTATCATGATCCCAATTCTACCTTACAAATCTGGCTAGATGAGAGCATGTACACAGGTACAGATAAGAGCTGAAAACACAGGGAATCCAGGACAGATAAACCCCTCAGGACCAATAATGAGAGTAGCGATACCAAGAGGGTACGGGGAAGGTGGGGGAAGAAAGAGGGAACTGATCACAATGATCTAACTATAACCCCCTCCCATGGAGATGGACAACAGAAAAGTGGGTTAAGGGAGACATCAGTCAGTGGAAGACATGAAAAAATAATAGTAATTTATACATCATCAAGGGATCATGGGGAGGGGGTAAAATGAGGAGCTGATACCAAGGGCTCAAATAGAAAGAAAATGTTTTGAGAATGATGGCAACAAATGTACAAATGTGCTTGACACGATGTATGTATGGATTGTGATAAGAGTTGTAGAAGCTCCCAATAAAATGATTTTAAAAAAACCACCAACAGAGAAATGCTTTGAAACTCAGTTCCAGAAAATCTTTACTACCCGCAGATGATTGGTGTTCTCTCATCAATGGGTAAGGTATGCTGTGTTGCAGTTACCTTGTTGCTATGGCTGCCAGACGGCTGGGAGAAACTTGAAGTGCAACATTAGTACCTGCTAGACCCTAAGGCCTGTGCATGTCCACATTATAACTGGCCTTGATCTGTTCTCTTTCCCTGTTGCTAATGTTTACTTCAAAATAATTCCTTATTTTATACCCAAGTTTCCGACAGATATTTGTCACATCCAAAGTAAAACAAAGGAAGGAACAGAAAAATAAATACATACCTGAGATTTGGCCATTTCTTGCTTGTCTTAGGAAAGGGCAAAGACTTGTGAATTGAGCTGGAACAAGTAGAGAAGAAGACAGCATATGAGAGACCCCAGCAGGCTTTCAGCAGCCAGAATGATCTGCCCTAGAAATCCCATTACAATGCTGGGGATGAGGTTGCTCTTTGGCAGACATTGGTTTTAATAACAACCTATGTATTCTGGACCCTTTTCCTCATATGAACATTGAACATGAAAGGTGGGTTTTGTTTGACCAAAAATTGTTTTTCTAGGCATTTCCCTTAATGAAATAATTTATTAGCATCTATCAGACATTTTTCTATAGGGGTTGTCAACCCAATATTGATTTCAACAATACCAAATGTAAAAGATCCTAGGTAACCCCAAGTAAGAGACTGATACAGAAACACAAATGACGCACTGTTATTTAAATGGTACTAAATATAACATTGTAAGGCATGGCCTACTTCTTATCTGTTTTTCTGTCCAGACATCTCATTAGAAGCTGGAAAAGTGTTTAATCCAAGCTTCTACATGGGGGAAAAAGGTAGGTTTTAAAATGGCTTGAACCTATAGCCTGCACACATTAAGAAATGTCTAAGAACAGACATCTAAATGTGTGTAGGGGGTGAGATTGGTCCCTTTTGATTTTCTGGTCCTCTATTTCCTTAGATTTCAAGTAACCTAGAATTCAAACGTTACTTGTTAAACTCCAAAATGCTAACTATAAAACCATCATGAGTAGCCTAATGATATTTTCGCCCGGATCTCCATCCGAAGACCCAGGGGCACCAGACCCTGCTCAGCCCTCTAGTTCCTAACAGTGAGTTCTCCTAGGTGCCGCCTCTTCCCTCTCTCCTCACCTCACAGAGGCAGTCTGGGCCGGGAGCCTGAAGGAGCACTTCAGGTGCAGAGCCACTTCTGCTGGAGCCTTCACGACAGGGCCACACTTCGGGCTTGGGCAGCAGGAGAAAGGGGGAGAGGGACGGGAGGCGCCTAGGGAGGGCCCTGCGCCCTGGGGAATTCGGCTGAACCCATGGCGCAGGGCACGTGCTGGAAATGTGTAAAAGTCAAAGTTCATGAAGTCCATTCGATCCTGGATATCCCCCTAACTTTGTCCACCATTGAGCCCGCGGCTGTCTCCAACCACTGATCTCTTGTTCCCCCATCACTCACTCGCCCGACCAACCTCTACCAGAATGACCCTCACAGACCTCCCTTCACTCATCCCCCGCCAGCCCTCCCCCATCGCTCCGCCCACACCCCCTAGATCTCGCCCCCTCAACCTCTCTGTCTCTCTCTCCAGCAGATTTTTGGCTCGCCGCAGAGGCCACCGTTACAAGAACTGTCCCCCAGAAGCACCTCCGATTTCGGACCGAAAGGGTGGCAGCGACCGGGCCTGCGCACGCTCCGTAGTAGCTTTGGCACCGCGTTTGCCAATAGTCACCCCGGGCGTGCACACGCACGCACGCGCGCGGGCGCGCGCACGCCCCGCCACTGGGCCCGACGCGGAGGTAGAGGGGCCGCGCCTGTGAGGGTCTGTCGGAGGCAAGATGGCCGCGCCCACGATGCGTCTTTCCCGTCCGAGCGGCCATGGTGAGGAGACTATTAAGCTCGTTCTTCGGAGGCCGTCATTTCTCAGACTTCCGGGGTCCAGAGGGCTTACTGCTGGGAAGGGAAGTGTCGAATTCAGGAGCGCACGCCGGCTGGCGCGAATCTGGGTGAGAGAAGGTGACGTGGAACCGGAAGGCGGCTTGCGTGGCAGAAGAGCGTGGGGTAGCCAAGATTAGTGGGCAGGCGCAGATCACTGGCGCCATCCAATGGCTGGCGCTGGGAATTTACTTTCTTGCGTTTTCAAGATGATGTGCAGAGAAACAAGAAGCAGAAGAAAAAATAATCTGGAGCACGCACACACAAAGGGGCAGGAGGAGGGGGTGTATTTAGTGGCTAATAGATTACTTTCTTCCAAATGGTCAGGAGCGCCCCCTTTTTTTTTCCCGTAAGTGACAGTCACACTGACCTAAAAGAACCGACAAAGAGTTAGGGCACAGTTGTTGCAAAGGCTGTATGAAAAAACAAACTCTCTGTCATTGAGTCGATGTTGATTCGTAGTGACCTTAGGACAGATTATAGGACAGGGTAGAATTGCACCCGGGAGTCCCTCGAACGGACCTTCGAACTGCTGACCTTTCAGATCGCAGCCCGAAACACCAACTACCCTACCAGGGCTCCTTAAAGAACCTATCCTAAGACACCTTGGAGGAATGGGAACAATGACTGTGTGCTGGGGATTTAAGAGGTGCTGGGAAGGGAAAGGTGAGCAGGTGCAGATGAAACTTTTATTTCATTCTGGACATAAAGGGAAGTCCTAAAGAAGGGATCAGATTTTGAAAGACCAGACAGAAGCAATTTAGCATTATCCACATTAAAAATACGTATACTACATATTTGATTGTTTTGTTTGTTGCCAGTCTCCCCTGCAAGCCCCCTACTAGAAATATGAGCTCCACAAAATATAGCAGGGAAGAAACAAAACCAAAATAAAAGCACAACAGAGACAGCAATGGTTCAAACCTTAACTCTGCTACTAACCAACTATGTGATCTAGGACATGGCATTTCGCTGTGCTACATTTGCACATCTCTGAGGAAAAAACCCCTCGCTGCCATCGAATAGGTTCCAACTCACAGCGAACCTATAGGACAAGGTAGAATCGTCCCTGTGGGTTTCTGAGACTGTAACCTTTTACGGGATTAGAAAGCCTCTAGGGAGAACAACAGTGCCTCTCACATGGGGCTGTACAGACAATTCAATGATTGATCATTGTAAAGGGTTTAATGCCTGACACCTAGCAAATCCTGTGTGTTTATTATTGCTGAAATAAAATTAGATGAGTGTGCAAGCATACCTCAGAGATATTGCTGTTTGGTTCTAGACCACTGCAATAAAGTGAACATTGCAATTAAGCCAGTCCTATGAATTTGTAGGTTTCTCAGTGTACATAGAAGTTGTTTATACTTGTATAATACACTTAAGTACAGGTACTTGAAGTGAGAATCCATACATCATTTTCTCGTTGCCAGAATGTACTGGGAACTTTCCTGTCCTTGTGACACAGCATTTCTTCTTCTTGTACTTGAATGGGGTATAATTTTATACTGCTTTCTCATTCGTACAATATATCTCGGAGTTTCCCCTTCGTGATACAAAGGGTCAGAGCTAAGGTTGAGGTTAGGGCGAGGGTTTGCGTTAAGGCTGGGGTTAGGGATATTTTTACGGTTAGGGAGAGGGTTAGAAAAAAGGTTAGGGTTAGGGTTAAGGTTGGGTTAGGTTTAAGGTAAGGGACGGGATTAAGTTTAGGGTTTGGCTTCCTCTTGGGCACAGTGTTAGAGTTAGGGATAGGGATAAGATGAGCTTTAGGGTTAGGAGTAGGAATAGGCTTAGGGATACGATTTGGTTTGTGGCTGACCATACTTTTAGGGTTAGGGTTAGCTTAGGGTTTGGATAGTGTTGGGTTTATGGTTTGATTAGGGGGAGGGTTTTAAAGTTTCTTCCTTTACTTAAAACTAAAAGTGTTATATATATTTAGAAATATAAACATAAATTATATTTACACTTTATGGAGCCCTGGTGGCACTGTGGGTTAGGCATTAGGCTGCTAACTTCAGGGTCAGGTGTTCTAACCCACAAACCACTCCACAGGAAAAATGTCACTATGAGTTAGAATTTACTCGATGGCAATGGTTTTGTAGTCTATTAAGTGTAAAATGGCATTATGAAAAAGTTTGAAATATTGTGGTAATTCCCAAAATGTGACAAAGAGGAAGTGAGTACATGCTATTGGTAAAATGGCACTATTAAACTTACTTGATACAGGGTTGCCACAAACCTTCTGTGTATAAAAGCCGCATATTTGTTAAGCACAGTCAAGTGAAGAGCACTCAAATGAAATGTGCCTATATGTGGAACTTTTACAAATAAGAAATAAAACCAGTAGTGTTCCAGAGCCACTAAAACTGATCAAGGAATGTTTACACCAGAAATATGGATGGAGCTTCCTACCAGACAAAAAGAAAAAGTGGGGATAACTTAGGTCTTTCATTCCACAAAGGATTAGCATCTCCTGAGTACAAAGTCTGTCAGAATTAGGAGGTGGGTAATAGGGGTAACTGTACCTTTATACTTTATTGGCCATCCCAAATGGACCATTCCAGCACCCAAACATCCCCCCCAACCCTTGTACACACAAACACACACACACACACACACACACACACATATACACACAACCCACTATAGGGAGGGGAAAACCCTTTAGGATTGGAGCACATTGGGGCACAGTGATTGCCAGCTCTAGAAATGTTTCTAAGCCACTGATTCCACCCCTCAGAAAGCACCCCAGGTCTGAATATGCACATCCACAAGTGATATGAGGGTAGTTTTTCTGCTGCTGTGTCAGAGCCCCCTAGTTTCTCTCCTGGGCATCATCTACTGTCAGTTCCTACAGGGACAACTTCCTCATACAGTGACCTAAGCATCAAGTGGCTAGGTAAAGGGTGTACAAAGCTGAACGCTTCTACCACAGAGTCTACACTGTGATATGCCTACCCAGACACAATGAGGAAGGTCCCCCACCTGGTTGGTGAATTATGATTACAATTGCTGTTCAAACACACGTTCTCAAAGCAATAAAAATGTTGCCAATTGTAAGCAGTCATTTTGGTCCATGAAGTAGGAGATGAGGTTGGCAGGTGAGGTGACCTTAGAGCTGCCACACTGTGGTGGAGTAAAGTTTCTTAATATGGCTCTTCTAGCCATGTCTGTCCAACTCCCACCAGATGATTAGGTAGGCCTGGGACTTATGTAATGCTAATAGAGGAGATTGGTCAGTTTAGTTGCCACCATACCCCCTGGCTACAAAAGAGCTATCTCAGAAGCAGGGACAGAGAGAATTCCTGGGGCCATCAAGGAAGAAGAGCCACTAGTAGAATATGTCAAAAATCCCTTGCTGCTTGAGAAACAGTCAGGGTGATGCCACAGGAAGACCAGAGGCCAAAGCAAGGAGATCTTGAGACAGAGCATAGGGACAGGCAGCACTGAAACAACGAGACTGTGAGGCACAGCAGCAAGTGGGCTTCCTGGCCCAGGGAGATCAGAGATCAATGAACCATGTGACCGAGAGAGCAGCTACTATAAGTGGTTGCTGGCTGAGGGGAAGCACTTCTATGCACCAATGACTGCATCCTTGCTGTTCACTGATCCTGGCTTTGGGGAACCAGTTACCTTCTCTAGTTGGCCCCCAAGATTGTGAATTTTATCTGTGGGTTGGTTCTGTGTGGCCATTTCAATGAATCCAGTAGAATAAAGCGCCATGAGAGGAATGGTTGGTTTAAACAATGCATTAAGCTTCTCCCTCTGGACCTATGTGAGTATCAGCAAGCAAAAGTCATATGAAGACTGTACAGGGATAATAATGGTGAATGGAGGTCAAATTGGAAGTGAATGTGTAGTTAGAACAGGGACTAGGGTGTCCACTACGCATGCTCAGAAATTCGAGCTCCAGGCCAGGAAGGGGTGGTATACCTAGGTGGGCGATAAGGTGAATTTAATTCAGCCAATAGGGTAACCAGTATCTTTAACCACGCCTCCCAGCAGAGGACCTGAAAAGCCAGAATCCAGAGCCAGCAGGCACTTGTTTTTCTCAAGCAGCTTGCCGGTGTGAAGTGCTCTGCGGGTGCCTGTGTAAAACCCGAAACTTCTTCTCTCCTTTATAAAACTCACTTGGATCACAATCCAGGCTTCACAGTGAATTCTTTCTGGTGAGAAGCCAAGAACCAAGGTATCACCCACCCTCCCACCCACCGAGAAACCTAACAAATGGGGATGAGGAGAGGCAAAGATGAATGGGTTGGAGGTGACAGAATGGAGTGAATTTGGGGAAGCAGAGTAGGGAATACACTCAATTTTGAATTAATTTGCCATTATGAGAGAGACCAGTAAGTGGGAAAATGAGGCATAGTCTAAGCAAAACAAGTGAAAATGGGAGCAAATTGTAAGTGTGTAGAGTTGAGAAAGTAGTTTGATATAGAGGTATGAGATTATTTGAATATTAAGGATTAGAGTATGAATGTGAGGTACCAGATGAAGAAAACATGAATTGAGAAGGAAAATGAAAGGGATGGGAGTGGATGAGGGCACAAGTGCTGACCACGAGTAAATGGTGGCAATGAGTGGGAAAGTGACTCCCCAGCATATACACCAAACCTATGGAGTTGACTATTTATTGGGAGGTCAACTGCTTCAAGGTTATCTGCCTGAAGGTCCTCAGCCATCTAGAGCAATCAGACCCTATAGCCTGTCCCACCCTAAGTAGAGCCCACTCCCTTCTGATAAGGATGGTGGATGGTTCCCCTGAAGGAGAGGCCAAAGACACCTAAGATCAAGCCAACTCAGGGACAACCAAGGTTAGGCTGTCATCTCGTCTCTAAGAGCCCACCTACCTTGTTACGTGTATGCCTTCCTGTTACATGTATAGGCATTGTACAACCCCATCCTGTTACGCATGTGGTTACCTATAATTAGGGGGACTGGTATGCCCCTAAGGTATACATAAGCCTTGGTTGGGAATAAATTCTGTGTGGCTCTGGCTTCTGAGGGCATGATGGTCCCGCAGGTGAGCACTCATGCTTTATCTTGTCTGATGTCTCTTTAATTTTACTATTTAATTACACAATCACCCCTTGGACCCATTCAATTGTAGAGGCTAGTACCCCACAGTAAAGGACAAGAAGTTAGTGGTGATATATTGCAAAACATAAGGAATTGGAGGAGGTCCAGTGTGAGTGAAGAGAACCGACTACTCAGCAGGTGGGGATGGGGGGGGTGTCCAGGCAATGATGAGCAAAGCATACAGAAATAAAGGTGAGCAAGTGGCTGAGCATGATTAACGGGGGTAGAGTGGGGCAGAGCTCACAAATGGAGAGTAATAGAAGTCAAGTGTGTCCTTCGGATATCTCCAGCCCCTGTCTCCCTGCATCTCATTATGAGATCTCCGAAGTTATCCCTGTCTTTTTCTTCTTCTTCAGCATCTTTCTTCCTGTGTATCCATTTCTTGTTTCTGACAGAACTATCACTGGGGAAGGTCGTGAGGTTCCCAGCCTTCCAACTTTTGTGTTCTAAAATCCATTACTTAGCTCTTTGTTCATAGAGCCTCGTGTTCCAGAATGCCCCTAATTCTACGCACTGCAGGGTGAGTTTAGAGGCAGGAATCAGTCAGAAGGACCTGTGAGTTTCATAATGAAGGTCTGGGGTGCTGTGGTGGCAATCTTGGCCACACTGATGGTTGTCACTTTGGACAGCAAGATCTATAGACGCTGTGAGCTGGCAAGGAAGCTGGACAAGGCGGGCCTCAACGGCTACAAGGGCTACACCATTGGAGACTGTGAGACTCCAGATGCCCCGGGTCCTGTCCACACCCAGGCCAGCCACACACTCAAACCCATTCTCCCTTTGTAATGTATCACTTACCCAGGCTAGAGCATGACCTTCATCCCCACCCCCATCAATACAATTTATCATCACTATTACCACCATTATGCCATCATACCATCATCACCGATATCTCACCAGAATCACTAATATCAACACTATCACCAGGCCAAGATAATCACCCCTAGCTCCTCATCCTAGCCTCCCTCCCCTATTCCAAGTTCCCATGCCTACCTGCTACCTGCCTCCTCCCCTGGCCCCAGGGTTATGCCTGGCACACTATGAGAGTGGCTTTGACACCTCCTTCGTGGACCACAATCCTGACGGTAGCAGCGAATATGGCATTTTCCAGCTGAACTCTGCTTGGTGGTGTAACAATGCCGTTACACCCACCTGGAACCTCTGCCACATGGATTGCCATGGTGAGGGACCACTTGGGATACCCTAAAACCCTGTCTGGTCCCACTCCCACACAGAGGGGAAGATAAACCCAAATGGATACCTGGGTTATTTGGGACTAGCTCAAGGTCTGCTAATGGCAGAAGGGGATACCTAGGATGGGTCAATTCGAAGGTTGAGTTTCCCAGGACTAGCCACTATAGAAGTTGAGGCAGTCTAGGACAGGCTAACAAGTAAGATAAAGTAGTTCAGGATTGATTAAAATGGAGGTTGAGGTCCTGGATCAGTCACCATGAAGGCTGAAACTATAACCAGTCAAAATGGCAGTTAATTGTCATTCACGACTGACAACCTGGCAACTGAGATTTTCCAACACTGGTTAAAATGGTAGTCAGGATTATTTATAACTAGTCAGAATGTCAGCTAAGGTAATCTTGGTCCACCCAACAAGCCAGTTGAAGTCATCCAGGACCAAGCACCATGATGGTTGAGGTTGTTCAAAATTAGCCAACATGGAGATTGAGATTAATTAAAACCAGTCAAAATGGGAGTTGAGGTTATCCATGACCTGAGACCATGCATGGTATTTAAAGTCGTTAGACCTGACCAACATTGCAGTCAAGACAGTAGTTGAGGTAGTGTCATGGCAGCCAGCATTACAATTAAGTTCATTCATAAACAGAAAATGACAGCCATTCCTAATTGGCCAACAGAGAATCTAAGGTTATCTAGGACCAGCTAATAAAGTAGATGAGCTTATTTATAATGAGTCAAGGTAATAGTCAAGGTCATCTAAGATCACTCAATATTCGTTAGGATTGTACAAAACCAGGCAACATGACATTTGAGGTAATTCATAATCAGCTGACAAGTGAGTCAAGGTTATACAGAATCATCCAATGTGGTGCTTGAGGTTATTGAGGCCTCAAAGAACCCAGAACCTCTGACTCTCCTCCATACATTGTCATTGTGTACCCAGCACATAGGATCACCATGTCCCTCTCTTCTCCCCAGACCTACTCAACCGCCATCTTCTGGATGACATCTTGTGTGCTAAGAAAGTCGTGTCCTCAAAAAGGGGCATGACTTCCTGGTGAGTTCCTGGGGATGACCTGGACCTTGGGCAGCTGAGATAGTAGCACCACCATTCCATTAACTTATCTATTTCATTCCCCCTACCTCCTCTCATTTCCCAGGGATTCTTGGACCGAGCACTGTGATGGCCACGATTTATCTCAATGGCTCAAGGGGTGTAAAATAAGTGTGAGAATTGACTCAAAGATAAAACAAATTCATGACTCAGAACCCCAGATGTAGAGATTTTCTTACTTTTGTGGATTTAATAAAGAATGGTATCTATAAACATGCAAGAAACCCTCTGGTGCCTGACTTCCTTCATCTTTCCAATGCTTAGAGATAATCCTTAACCAGAAGACACCACCTCACTAGGGGTACAGATTAGGGTTCCCCTGGGTTAAAATCCCAGCCTTATCACTTATTATCTATGTGACCTTGGGGTAGGCTCTTAGTTTTTCTCTGCCTCAGTTTACTCATCTTTAGGTGAGGATGTTAATATTGATAATAACTATCACATGCGATCATTGAAGTAAATCAGTTAATGTTTGTAAAGTATAGAAAGTACTTGGTACAGAAAACCACTTAAAAAAAGAAAGAAAGAAGGGTTCAAGTAAAAAGCAAATGTTTTAAGAAAAGAAAATAATAAAAATAGAAAATGTTTTGAGAATGATGAGGGCAACAAATGTACAAATGTGCTTGACACAATGGATGGATGTATGGATTGTGATAAGAGTTGTATGAGCCCCCAATAAAACAATTAAATAAATTTTAAAAAAAGAAAGAAAGAAACCAGTGGTTCCCATGGGTGAAGGAGAACGAGTTGTTGCTTAGGAGGCGTTGCGTTTATGTTAATGGTGGTGGGATCATTTGGAAAAGGATATCAATAATGGTTGTATAATATGGAGAGTATAATAAATGGCACTGAATTATGCATGTAGAAGTTGTAGAATTGGAGAATGTTTTGTTGCACATATTTTTGCTACAATTCGAAAATAATTGCATGAATAACAACGAGTACAATGAAGAAGAAAATGTACTATAATGTGATAATTGTACAACTTTTTTATATGATTGAATTGTATGACATGTGGATGAAGTGCTAATAAAACTGCTAAAAAGAAAGAAAGCACTTGGTACACATGACAGTTATTGGTCTGAAGACAGAGGAGCAAGGGTGGTAAGGAACAAAAACTGAATTCCTTTTTTTTTTAAATCATTCATCTGGAGTCCCCATAGGGCAGATAGAGTATCTTCAGGGGAAAATAGAATTAGTTTCAGCTTACACATGAAGCTCATTTATAAGTGGGAATTAGCAATTTTAAGTACTCATATTCTCCCATATCCTCCTATATATTACCATTATAATTTTGAGTGCCCTCTAACCTCCTCTTTCATGATCAAGGTCCTAAATTTAAAATTACAGGAACTGAGATCAGAAATTCAATGTGTGCACAAGGTAGTAGTTCCTGTTTTATAGAGTGCCTGGCTTTCAATCTATATCTTGAGCAGAGAATTTAAGAATTTGAATTTACCACTCTTTCTCCTTATGCTGGCCACTAGAAGCCACCACCATTATCCTGGAGTCCCTCATGTTATTCATACTTTCTGTTTGGAAGCAGATAATTACCCAAAGCCTTTAAGTGTTCACTTCATCTAAGATAAGCAAGATAAAATAATAGTTAAAACAGTGACTTGCCACCGCATGCCAAGGAATACCTGAACTTCCTTAATGCTGCCTGGATTTCCCCCTTTAGCCCCAACCAGGCTGTATAATCAAATCTCACATCTCTCTAAAGGCCCATAGAGGGTGGTCCCTGAATGTGATAGGGTTAATCATTTACAGCAGCAGAAACTAACTCTGGTGAACTTAAATTAAAAATGCATCCTCTATAACTGCCACCCCAAGGCTGTGAAATTGGCAGTCGCTGGACCTTGGTTAAGATCCCTTGCTTTGTGGGTGTCCAATGAAAAGTGGCCCAGGATCACCATATATTTATTATTTTAATGCTCTCTTTGCTTTACTATGAGCAATTACCTATTCATCTGAGAGGCAAGATTCTGTCCTTGTGAATGAATGTTACTGGAAATTTTCCCCTATCACCAACCCCCAGAGCTAAATCATTTAAGATTTCAATCTATAAAAATCAACAACTCATGAATTGTAGTTAGAAGCTGGTCTACACTTGCATAACACCTTTTTCTTAGCAAGATGTTAAATTCTATGCCATTAGATAATGACAGTATCAATAGAACTACTTTATACCCAAAGGGGACGAATGATAATATACTTTGTCATAAAATGAGAATGTGGCCTCTAAAGTAAACCAGACTCTGATGCATGTTGGGCCTGATCTGGTTTTCAACATTTTCTGGTTTTGTTTTTTGTTTTCTTACTGGGGTTTATTTCAGACAGCTTGTTTGATTGATTGTTTTGGTCATTGGGAGTAACCCTCCTGAGTTTTTGTTATGTTTTTTTCTTTTTTTCAGTATATGAAACTGAAGATTGATGAATCTATAGAGCCAGTAAATAGAATAGGGGTTTCTTGGGGGCACAGTGGGGGAGGGGGACAAAGGGGAGCTTATGTTAAGGAGTTCAAGAAGGTAGAGAATGTTTTGAAACTGATTGTGGTAGCAATTATACAATACTGCTTGATGTGATTAAACTATGGAATGTTTGGATATCTGTATTAGCTCCCAATAAAATGGGTTTGGAAAAAGGTAAATGAATTAACTAATATTTAAGTTTGTTTTTGTATGTGATGAGATTTAACAGTGACTAGGCATTCTATATCACTACATACTTTCATTAGAATAAAAAAATTAATATTGAAAAGAATTGCTTGGTTTTAAACTGACATTCTACTTAACTAAGCATTATGTTCTTTTCCAAGCACCAGTCCCTTCTCATATGTCCAAAGCACATGAGATGAAGTCTTGCCATCCTTGCTTCCAAGGAACATTCTGGCTGTACTTCTAATGTACATTTTTTTGTTCTACTCACAGTTCATGACATGTTCAATATTCATTAATATAAAGGCATCATAAAAAAAGAATAGTGTCTGGGGTCTCAAAGGCTTGTCCTCAAACAGCCATCTAAGTGACGCATCAACTAAGTTCACATGGAAGAAGCATACCAGCCTGTGCAATCCAAGGATAATAAATAACAAAATCCAAATCTGAGGGTAGGAAAGGTATCAGAGCTTAAATTGTGAACACCCAGTTTGCAGAAGGCTGTAGATGACAGTGAGAGCTCACAATCCATCTGCAGGGTCCACACATGGATTAAGCTTCTGGTGGATCCCCTCTGATCCTAGTCGAGGGACATGACAGAGATTGTGGTAAACTTGATTATGGTAGATGGAATTAGTTAATCATGTGGTACCTGGTCATTTGTTCTCCCTATTGACTCATTTTGGATTCATTCTAGTTTTCAATATTTACTGCTTTTTTCTTGATGGAAGTTATTTTTCCTCTGATTTATTTTAATATTGTCGTTGATCTTTCTTTTAAAAATATACTTGCTGTTTTCATTTTTGTTGTTGTTTGTTTTTTGATTTGGTGGTTATTTTTCCAGTATATATAAAGCATAGGATGGGTGGATGTCTAGAGGCAATAATTGGTGCATGGTTGGGATATGTGCTGGTAGGGTAGAGGTTGGAGGGAAATGAGGAGCAAGTAAGGAAAACAAGAATGGGGAGGATGTCTAGAATTGACTGTGATGGTCTATATACAACTCAGTTTAAATACAACTGAACTTTGGAAGCATATAATAAGTGACATATATCTCAATAAATCTATTGGGGAGAAAAAGCATCTTTTAGAAGCTTATCAGATAGCTGATAGTATTTCTAAGCAAGGCTACATGACCAAGCTCAGAATGGGAGCAGAAAACACACAAAGAAAAATAGCCAAACTCACTCCCACAGAATGGACTGGAGTAAGAATTCTGGCAGTGTTAGCTATTACTACTTCTGGGACAAACAGACCAGTAGGTAGCATCATGATAAGTGGGGAAAAGATTGACATTGTCAAAGATTTCATCTTGCTTGGATCCATAATCAATACTCATGGAGGCACCAGTCAAGAGATCAAATAATGCATTACATTGGGTAAATCTGCTGCACAAGACCTCTTTAAAGTGTTGAAAAGCAAGGAGGTTACTTTGAGGGCAAAGGTGTGCTTGACCCAAGCTGTGGTATTTTCAATGGTCTCATGTGCATGTGAAAGTTGGACATTGAATCAGGAAGACCAAAAAAGAATTGATACATGTGAATCGTGGTGCTGAAAAAGAATATTGAACATAAACTGCCAAAAGAATAAAATCTGTCCGGGAAGAAATACAGCTAGAGTACTCCTTAGAGGCATGAATGGTGAGACTTCCTCTTACATACTTTGGACATGTTGTCAGGAGAGACCAGTCCCTGGAGAAGGACAAAGAGGAAAACCTTCAACAAGATGGATTGACACAGTGGCTGCATCAATGGGCTCAAACATAAGAACAATTGTGATGCAGGTGCAGGACCAGTGGTGTTTTGTTCTGTTGTACACAGGGTTGCTAGGAGGCAGAACCAACTTGACAGCACTTAGCAACAACTTCTGAAAACTGGATGTGGTGCCCTGGTGTTATTTTCTTCTCTTTATTCATTGCTCTAATTGAGTTTCCATTCTAACAACTTAACATTTACAGTATTTTTAACTGTTCCTTTAGTGGCTATCTTTAATTCTGTAACTTTATAACTTTTAGAAAACTCACATTTCTTGCAGATATTTATTTTCCCTTATATGAGAGTTTGGTATTAAATCTGGAAACATATTTCCCTTACATTATTTCTATGAGACTATACTTATTAGAATTTGTTAAATTGGGTTTCCCATGATGCATGTGCCCAGATTTAGTGAGGTTTGGCTTTTAACTGAAGCCTCTCATATATTTAAGGCTTCAAAAGATTTCATTCTTAAATGACCTTTCCAATGTAAAATTGTCATTGTAAGCCCATGATAAAGTATTAAAACGGCCTTTTGTTTGTTTGTTTGTTTGTTTCTGGGCCTTGGCTTTTGCTTCTACTCTACCTATTGTACTCTTTCCCTCAGAATGGCTGTTACTTCCTTTTCTCAAGTCTCAGTGAATCCTAGGAATTACTCAATTTCTGAATTAATCAATTAATGAAGTTATTAAATTCTTAAGGATCATGAGTTTTCTAATATATTTTACATATTTCAGCTCTTTCAAGTCTTTGTTTCCATTTTATTGGAAGCTCAGATATTATAACCATCCATAGTTCAATTAGATCAAGTGTGATTGTACAATTGTTGCCACCATCATTTTCAAAACATTTTCTTTGTTCTTCCACTCTTTGGTATTAGCTCCCCTTTATCCCTGCCCTCCTCCACCCTACCCCCAAGAACCTTTGTTATTATATTAAATATTGTTATTATTATTATCCACCCCTCTGTATCTTACACCATCCAAAGTATCCATTCACCTGCCATTCTGTTGTTTGTTCCCTCGAAGGGGTTATATAGTCATCATTGGTATCAGTTCCCACCCACCCTCATCTCTTTCTGCACCCTATGGGAATCATTATTCCTGTTAAAATTCCTGAAGGGTTTATCTATCTTGGATGTCATGCATTGAAGGACCTTAATTATACACACGTACATATGCAGGTCTAACAGGATTAATGAGGTAAAATTAACACCATAATAGTAGGGGGAAGAAATATTAAAGAACCAGAGGGTTGCTATGTGTTTCATCAGTGCTATACTGCACCCTGGCTATATCATCCCTTCCATGTGGCCCTTACAGAAGGGCCACATGGTCAAATAACCAAAAGGAATCACTGAGAGATGAATGATGGGTAAACATCATAGTGGGGCAGGAAGAAAGAAATAGAGGAAAGAGCAAGAAAGTAAAAGATATATATAGGTATAAATATGTATATGTATATATGTAAATACATAAACACATAAAGGGGAGTATTTGTCTATGAATGTGTGTGTGTATATAAATACAACACAGAAGCAGATGGACTTTGGGGGTCTACTTAAATCTTACCTCAGTACAAGAATGATTTGTTCTAATAATGTGGCAATGTATGTTACTCACCTTTCCGACACAATCACTGAAAACAAAATGTGTGCATAAGCAAGTGTGGTGAAGAAAGCTGATGTTGTCTGGCTATTAAAAGATACAGTGTCAGAGGGAGGGAGAAATGGGGGGGATAAATAAATGAAAGATATAATGTGTGGGGTCTTAAAGGCTTGAAGTTAAACAAGTGGCCAACTAACAGGGAAGCAACAAAGCCCACATGGAAGAAGCACACCAGCCTGTGTGATCAAGAGGTGTTGCTGGGAATAGGTGTCAGAAGTTCAAAAACAAGCAACCAAATAGACGTAAAGCATTGACAAAATGGATACCCACAAAAATCAAAATTCTTATCTTAATTGTATAATTCTACTTGACATGAAGTATGGAATGATATTTTATATGTATTAAATCCCAACTAATAAAAAGAAAGTCTTCTCTTATAAATTCTTCAATCTATAATACTTTTAAACTTTCAGATCTTTTTCTTATATTCATGGAAATCATAGGATTTCTCTCCTATGTAATTATCTGATATACAATGAGTTTTGACTTCTCTCTGAAGGCTCTGATATGCTTGTTGCATTGATAGGGCTTCTCTCTTGTGTAACATCTTTGATGACTAATGAGTTGATTTCTAGAAGAAAGCGGTATCATATTCATTGCATTCATAGGGTTCCTCCAGTCTTCCCTGATATATGTAACATGACTTCTAGGAAAAGACTTTTCTACTTAAAGTATAATGTTTCTCCTGCATGAATTCTCCAATGAACACTAAGATTCGACTTAAGGGTGGAGATCTCACATAGTCTGCAAGCACAGGAAAACTCTCCTATGAATTCACTGATGTGTGTGCAGTATTGATTTGTCTCTGAAGGATTTCTCACATTCGTTACATTCCCTTGTGTGCACTTTCTGATGCATACTGAGGAGACTTTCCCACTTTTTCTGCACATTCATAAACTTGCTCTCCTGTGTGAATTATTTGATGAACAACAAGGCGGGAATCCTTGCTGATGATTTTTCTACACTCAGAAAATTCTTAAGGCTTCTCTCCAGTTTGAGTTGCATCATGCTGGAGGATGGGTTATGATTAATGCCTTTCTCATATCTATGTCCATGGAGTTTCATGCTATTATTTTTTCATGAATGTTTTGAATTAATGAACTTTCACATTCATTACATTTGTAACTGTCATGGACCTCAAAGCTTACATTATGAGTTAATAAGACTAAATTAACTTGAAAACTTTTTTCATATGAGTCATATAGATAGGGTATTTGTACTGAAGAAACCATTCCTGTGCTCTGAGGAATTGTGTTTATAAATCCATTACATTCATGACCTCTCCCTTTAGTCACAGTTGACTCATTAATGGATAGAGTGTGCCTCTATTTTACTTTGTTTTCTCGGGTACCTGTCCAGGTGGTCATCAACTTGCCAAATGTTTAGAAAGAATAATAACTCAGGTCCTTTGAATATCCCTTTGTAAGAAGCAAATATCTGGTGAAAATGACTTTTTTTCTTTTAGGTATAAATAGCAGTCAGAAAGTAATCAACCATGCATCTTTCCTACATTCTAAGGTATAGGCGAATATATAATGAATAGAAATTAAACAGGAAAGTAACAAGAAACATAAAAGCCTTTGATTGTTTAAGAAAAATAATAGAGGAGAGACAAAATGAAAATAGATTTAAGGAGCCACCATGGGGGGAAAAAAGGTATTGGACGTGTAACACATCCAGGGTTGGGGGGAAACAATTCAAATAAAATGGAAAGGGCTTTTCAGGAAAACTGAAAACAGCTAAAAAACAAAACCCAACTCACTGTCACCGAGTTGATTCTGACTCATATCAATTCTATAGGACAGGGTAGGACTGCCTCTGTGGGTTTCCGAAGCAGTAAATCTTACAGAAGCAGAAAGCCTCTCCTTTCTCCTGCAGAGAGACACGTGGATTGAACCCTTGAACTTATGGTTAGCAGCCCAATATATAGTCCATGACACCACTACAGTTCCAAAAACAACAAAAACTCAACTCACTGCCATTGGGTGGATGCTGACTCATAGCGACTCTGTAGGACAGGGTAGAACTGCCCGCCGTGAGTTTCTGAAACTAGCTGTTCGGGGGAGTGAAGAGTGCCGCCATTCTCCCATGGACCTTCCAACTGCTGACCTTGCGGATCGCAGCCCATCTTGAAACCGCAACCGACCTACACGACAGCGCCAACTAAAGTGGCTAGTAAAATAAGCGGAAGGGTGACTTTAGATTGTTGTCTATTTCCTCGCAGTGATTCTCACAATATCACTGTGTAAAAATAACTCACAAGGAGTTGGCGCTAATGTTCCATATGTCTGGGAAGAGATTTCTGAGTGTGAAAGCGTTCCATTTCTCACGGACTCACGGAGTCTTACTCATCTCCCATTTGTTCTCACCCTACGCTCCTACCAATAAAACTCAAAACTCAGGGCTTGCTTTTTCTATTTTCGAAAGTCCTTCTTCCTCTGAAAACATAATCGCATCTGGTTTAGTAACAGAATTCCCTGTAATGGGAAATAATGCAACACTTGGGCACATCTGTGTGGGCTTCAGAATCTCAAAATAATTATTTTAATGAGGTAAAATTTCACATGGAAGATGGAAATATAAGTACCGTTTTCAGTTGAGGAGGGACTAAGAATGACTAAGAATTTTCAATGCCTGGAATTTGAAGTCAAAGTATTGAAGCACTTTAGAAAGAGAAAGTTCTTCTGTGAAATACATGGTGGATTATTCGTGGAAGCCATCCTCCCCCACAGAGACTAGAGGGCTATGGTTCTCTGGCATCACGTCTCTGTACACAGTCCTCTGAGTAGGTTTTATCTTACTCCATTCATCCTAGGTCAAGCCCACAGCCACATCCTCAAATGACACTGATCCCGGAAATTTCATACTTCTCTATGCAATTAGTTTGATAGAAATTCAATCAATGATCTTTTAAAAGAAAGATGGAATATTCCTTAGAGGGAAGCTTGTTCTTAGGTGCTGTTCAGTCAGTTCCAACCCATAGCAACCCTGTGCACAAAAAAGCAAAACACTCCCGGTCCTGTGCCCTTCTTACAGTGGTCCCTATGCCTGAGCCCATTGCTGCAGCCACAGTGTTAATCCATCTCCTTGAGGGCCTGCCTCATTTTCACTGCCCCTCCACCAAACACTATATCCTTCTCCAGGGACTGGTCTCTCCTGATACCACGTCCAAAGTATGTAAAATGAAGGCTCACCATCCATGCCTCTAAGGAACACTCTAGCCACACCTTGTAACCATCAAGAATATTTATTTTTGTGTTTAAACCTTTTCTTGAATTTTTATAACAATGATCTCATACAATATATTTTGTGACCAATTTCCCTCAGCATAGTATCTTTGAGGTTCATCCATGTATTAAAGTGTTTTGCAGATTTAGAGTTATTCTTTAACATGTCATATGTACCACAGTTTGTTTATCCATTTAGTTGTTGGTGGGCATTTAAGTCGTTTTCATCTTTTGGCTATTGTGAATAGTGCTGATATAAACATAGGTATGTATACATCTATTTGTATCACAGCTCTTATTTCTCCAAGATATACAAGCGGGCTACAAAAAGATCATACGTTTTTTCGTTGCAATTCCATTTTTCCAGGAACTTTTTGAAGCCTCCTAATATACCTACTGGTGGGAAAGCTGGATCATATATAAATACATATGTACAAATGCACTTATAAGATTTCTGTCTCAAAAAAAAAAAAGATTTCTTTCTCTAACTTTTTATGCTATACTCTTTTCCCCAGTGCAGTGTTTGTGCCATTTTATGATCCCACCAGCAATGTATGAGGGTTCCAATTTCTCGTGTACTCATCAGCGTTTGTTGCTTTCTGGTTTTCTTTTTGAACTTTGCTATTAGTGCTGGAGTGAAATAATATCTTGTTTTGCATCTCTCTTATAGATGACCACCTTTCTTCATGAGTTTGTTGACTGCCTGAATGTCTTCTTTGTGAAAGGTATTTCCATATTTTCTTCCCACTTTTAATTTGATTGTTTGTGTTCTTGTTGAAGTTTTCAAGTGTTCTGTAAGCTTTAGAGATTAGTCCCTTGACTGATATACTGTTGCCAACTTTTGCTCCTAGTTTGTGAGTTTTCTCTTTATTTGTTTTTAAAAATCTTTTGATGGGCATAAATGTTTAATTTGAGAGAGGTCCTAGTCATCTAATTTATTTCGTGCCACTGTGGATTTTTTAGTTATGTTGAATAATGTATTGATATTATGTATTAGGGCCCCTAAGTTTGTCCCTAATTTTTCTTTGATGATTTTTATAGATTTGGGTTTTGCAATGAGATCTTTAATCCATCTTGAATTAGTTTTGTGTATAGTGTGAGATATGTATCCCATTTAATTTTTCTACAAAAGGATATCAAGTCTTCCTAGAACAATCTGTTAGAGTACCTCTTTCCCATTTAAAGGGTTATGGCCTTTTGTCAAAGATCAGCTATGCACAAGTGGAGGGCCATAGTTTGGAGCTCTAAATTCGGTTCCATCAATCTATGTGTCTGTCATCACACCAGGACCAGGCTATTTTGACTACCATGGCTGTGTGTGTCAGCTTGTTGTCTATAATATAGACTATATATTACATACTACTATTATATCCATGTTAATTCCCCAAGTGTAGGAATGTGATGGTATAGGAAAATGTCCATATTCTGAGATGTATGATGAAGAATTTAAGAGTAAATGGACATTGTGGCTGCCACCTTTCAAACAGTTACCCTCTCAAAATAAATATATCTGATTAGTATACACCACCACTCATATGTCATTTTGTCATGTTATGATGACTTGCATATTTCTGTGATCCTGGAAGCTATGACATAAACACTTCAAATACCAGCAGAGTCCATTTTTTTTCTTTTTTAAAAATCATTTTATTGGGGGCTCATACAACTCTTATCATAATCCATCCATCCATCCATTGTGTCAAGCACATTTGTACATTTGTTGCCCTCATCATTCTCAAAACATTTTCTTTCTACTTGAGCCCTTGGTATCAGTTCCTCATTTCCCCCCTCCCTCCCACACCTTCCCTCCCTCATGAACCCTTGATAATTTATAAATTACTATTATTTTGTCATGTTTTACACTGTCCGATGTCTCCCTTCACCCACTTTTCTGTTGTCTGTCCCCCAGTGAGGGGATTATATGTAGATCATTATGATCAGTTCCCCCTTTCTCCACCCCCCTCCCCCTTCCCCTTCTGGTATCGCCGCTGTCATCATTGGTCACGAGGGGCTTATCTGTCCTGGATTCCCTGTGTTTCCACTCTTATCTGTACCAGTGTACATGCTCTAGTCTAGCCAGATTTGTAAGGTAGAATTGGGATCATGATAGTGGGGGTTGGGGGGGGTCATTAAAGAAGTAAAGAAAAGTTGCATGTTTCTTTGGTGCTATACTGCACCCTGACTGGCTCGTCTCTTCCCTGCGACCCTTCTGTAAGGGGATGTCTAGTTGCTTACAGATGGGCTTTGGATCCCCACTCCGCACTCCCCTCATTCCCAATGATATGATTTTTTGTTCTTTGATGCCTGATACCTGATCCTATCGACACCTCGTGATCACACATGCTGGTGTGCTTCTTCCATGTGGGCTTTGTTAATTCCGAGCTAGATGGCCACTTGTTTACCTTCAAGCCTTTAAGACCCCAGATGCTATATCTTTTGATAGTCAGGCACCATGAGCTTTCTTCACCACATTTGCTTATGCACCCACTTTGTCTTCAGCAATCGTGTTGGGAAGGTATCATGGAATGCCAATTTAATAGAACAAAGTGTTCTTGAATTGAAGGAGTACTTGAGTAGAGGTTCAATGTCCATCTGCTACCTTAATTCTAAACCTATAAATATATGCACATAGACCTATTTCTCCATCATCATATATAAATATATTTACATATGCACATGCCTGTATTTAGACCTCTATAAATGCCCTTTGCCTCCTAGCTCTTTCCTCTATTTCCTTTTACTTTCCTCATGCTCAGCCTTCATTTGGGTTTCAGTAATTCCTCTCAGTTACATTACCCTGGATCAAGCCCTACCAGGCCTTCTACACCCTCCTCGCCATTGATTTTGGGTTGTGGGGGAAAGGCCAGACTCCCACAACTAATTGCAGGTTCTATAGGCACAATTGAACGGTTAATATATATATTATAATAAAGTCATAGAAAATAAGGAGAGATAGAAGAGAGGTTGAAATAGTGAAGTCAGACACATTTCATGGTAGCATGCCCACCTCCTGGATGGCCATGATCTCAACAGCCAGGTCCGTGCACAGCAAGGGCTGAGAGGGCAGGAGAGGGCAGGGTGAGGAGGGGAAGGACAGGGGGCTGGGGGAGTGAGGGCCGGGAAAGAGGCCAGGGGAGAGGAAAGACCCTTTATTGCTAACACAGGCTTATATATCTTTGGGGAGCATGCAAGCCCCCTAATTACAGGTAAAGACACACATCACAGGAAAGGGGTGCACTTTAAGTTATACAGTAATGAGAGGGGGATGGGGTATACACACATTAGGAAGGGGAGAGATTGGGGGCACACATGTGATAAGATGGGAGAATCCTAGATACAGGATGGCAGCCTAACTTTGGATGTCACCGAGCAGGTTTGACCTGTTCTCTGGCTCTCCATGGAAACCATTATCAGTAGGGTGTGAACCCCACCTACAGTGGACTAGACAGCAGTCTGAATGCTTTCAGGGAGAATATCTCTAAGCATCTGACCTCCTACCATGTGCTGGCAAATAGCCTCTAATGTTTGGCATATCTTTGGGGGAGGCAAAGCTGGGGGGAAAGTCTCTTTATATCCCACATTGGATCACTTGTTGTTCCCTAGTCCCTAGGTTTGTTAACACCCATTTCCTCCCCGCCTCTCCCCCTCTTCAATGTCTCCCCTAGAAACCATAGGTTTCATTTACTCCTCCAGCTTGTTTATCTTGCCTATCTTATCTAGATAGACCTGCAGAAATAATAATATGCACAAAAACAAGACATAGCAAAACAAATCAACAAAAGAAAACAAAACAACAATAACAACAAAAAGAAAAGTCTGTAAATAGTTTGAGGTCTGTTTGTTGACCTTTAGGAGTGTTTCCTGGTCAATTCTGATGGGGTGCCATGCCCTGACCCCAAAGTATATTTTTGGTATTCCCTGGGGACTTCGTTGCTCTGTTCCTCTTGCTATTCTTTTTTTTTTTTTAACCTAATAATTTAGAAATTTTATTTGCCAGAAAGACCATGGACAAAATATAGTTGATGCACATCATAGACAAACAGATTATGTATCTTCTATGTAAAGAGCTCTTGCAAATCAATAAGAAAAAAAGAAAATATACAAAGAAAAAAGTGAAAATAGTAAATATAAGTGGACATTCTACCTCATCCATTTTTAAAGAAACACAAATTGAGGCAAAATTCTTTGACCTATAAAATGATTACCAGTGCTCCAAAGAGTCTAGTTAAAGGAGCACCTTTAATACTTTCTGGAGAACAGTTTGTCAAAAGGTGCCACAGTTTTGAAAAATAAGAAGTATAAGGTTTTTAATTCAACATTTCAGTTCTTATCATTATGATAAATATGGGGAAATTAGAATCATGGTACACAAATGTTTACTAGCATGGAAGGAGCTCCACTGTCTAGTTTTTTGTTTTTTTTTCATTTCATTCAGGCTTTACTGCGTGCATTAAGAGCTTCCTGCTCCCATGAAAGTCAATCTTTTCTTTTTTTTTTTTATTCTCTTTTTTAACATTTTATTAGGGGCTCATACAACTGTTACCCCAATCCATACACACATCAATTGTGTAAAGCGCATTGGTACATCGTTTCTCAAAACATTTTCTCTCCATTTAAACCCCCGACATTAGGTCCTCATTTTTCCCCTCCCTCCCCTCCTCTTGCTATTCTGTTGCACACCCTTAGTGGATCACCTCAGTGTGGTGGAGTCAGATCGGGCGCACTTCCTGCACTGTGTCTCCAGTGTTGTCCCTGGTCAATGAGGGTTGTCGTGTCTTGTAGTGGGGCTGGCCCTATGTTCTTCTCTGTGCTTTCGCTGCTCTGGAAGGGAATATTGTCCTCAGGGTTTGGTGGACCAGGATGTGCTCCACTCTCTCTTCCTCTCCCTTCATTTGCTCCTGTGTGCTCTGATCAGACATGCCCCTCTCCCTGAACTAGCAGGGTCCTTTCATGGTGGACAAGCTCCAGCAGAGTTTCCAGACGAGAAAAAAGGAGGAGGTGGTTCATTTCTGAGAGAATAGCCACTGAAAACCTTATAAATAGCAGAAGAACATTGCCTGATATGGTGTCAGAAGATGAGACCCTCAGGTAGGAAGGCACTCAAAATAAAACTGAAGAATAGCTTCATTCTCAAGGCAGGATCTACTTTAGTAACATGGATGGAGCAAAGATTTTAGGGCTTTGCATGACTTAGAATGAGAAGAAACATTTTAAACATCTGTTAATAATAAGAATGTGGAACATATGAAGGCTTAACCCAGGAAAATTAGAAGTAGCCAAAAATTAGATGGAATGTGTAAAGATTGATAGCTTAGGCAACAGTGAGATGCAATGAATTGGTATTACTCACTTTCATTCTGGCAATCATATGGTTTACTATGGCTGGAATGACAAAGAGGAATGACATCCCATTCATCATCAAAAGAAAATTTTAAGATCTACCTCGAAGTGCAATGCTGTCTGTGACAGGATAATATTCATATACCTACAATAAAGTTCAGTTAATACAGCTATTGTGCAAATTTATATATTTATAACTAAAGTTAGTGATGAAGAAATGGTAGAATTCTACTAAATTCTTTAGTCTGAAATTGATCAAACATACAATCAATAAGTATTGATAATTACTGGTAATTGATATGGGAAAGCTGGGAACAAAGAGGAAGGCTCAGTAGTTCGAAAATATGACCTTGAAAATGAAAATGAAATTGGAGGTCCCATGATA